ATGGCATTGTGTAAGACAACACACACTAAAATCCTGTCCTGAGAAATCGGATTTTTTTAAGACAAGACACAACAGAAGATCCAGAAGAAGATTGTTGTTTTCACTATATGCATTCAAAGAACTGGATGCATTAGGGTCTCACACGCTTTTTTCAAGATTTAAGATTTAACTATTTTAAAATAATCTTAATAGTTTAAGTCACTTAAAAGCACATAGGATATTTAATCATAAGGGAACTATCATAACACAGATTGTACAACAGAAATGCTTAAGGACTATGACCTCCCTGAGAAATCACACTTTGAGTCCCACCACAGGTCACTGTCATTCTTCCACAAGATTTTGAAGAGGTAGTAAAATAATAAACAGTAACATACAACCAAAATCCCATATTTTAAAGGTCTTTAAATATTAGTTCACTCTATCTAGAAACAGCAGGCAAGATCCCAAGTTACAAATTAACAACAAGTGTCTCACAGCAAGTTCTTAAAGGGAATAGAACTTTTAGAAGTTAACCTAAACTCTTTTCTAAAGATAAGCAAAAGCACTAAAACAAGAAAACCATATTATACTGTCACAAACCTACTCTAAATTAGAAGCAGCAATGCTGAGATAAGACAGGTGAACTCTCAAAGAACAGAAACTGATGAGACAATTCCATCTGTTGGTGAGAAGAAATGCAAGAGTGACTATACAGAAAAACATCTGACATTGCCAGAAGTGTATTTTCTCAAAAAAAACTTTCCCTTTCCTCATCTCTTGGCACAAAAGGCAAAGAGAAACCATTTCCTCAATGACTGAAAAACTGCTCTCAATCAGACAGCACCACTCAACATGACACCTTACTTGGTTCTTGCAGCTTTACACAGCAATAATTCTCACGTCAATCTCCAGTTTTAATGCAATATGCTGAGAATAAAAACTGGGAAATGGTAGATTGTTATAAGATACATTAGGAATAAAAGGTTATTACAAACAGATTAGCCCAGGGTGGAAATGACACAGGCTAAGCAGGAGGCATGGATAATCTGGGTAACTGCCATGGAAAAACAAATATCATGATTGGACTGAAGGCGAATGGAAGCAGTTCAAATTGGCTTCCTCCAGTTCACCGCAGAACATGTGATGCCCACATGTCCATTTCCAGCAAACTTCACCATAAAGAAACAAAGGCCAATACTGTGAAGTGCGGAAAAATGCATCTACAAGCAGCTTCTTCCATATCATAGCAAGGTGAATTATTGCAGCTGCCTGATAAGCATTAAAGGGTTTGGGGGGGTTTTGGGGCCTTTTTTTTTTGGGGGAAAAGGGGGGAGGGGGTGGGGAATTGGAAGAGAGCTACCAGCATTTCTTTGAAGCATACCATCCTGTCAGTTAAGTGTTGACCTCACAAAGAAGAGCAAATAGAACCCAGGTTGCAGTTTTACAGTTAGTCTACAAGGCTCACTGCGCTGCTGTTGCCAAATGCAGTAACTTCACACTTCCCCTGTCCATCTACATGCTTCTACAACTTCTCTGGCTCAATTCTAGCAGGTTAACTTTTCAGACATCAGTTCCTTTATCCAACTTCACACGAGGCCATAAAGAGGCTAGTGTTTGCTTAACAGAAAGGTCAGGAACTCCTGGCTAAGTATAGGCTGTCTCTATAACCAGCAGCACACTCTTAAACTGGCTTAAATTGATCATTAAAACCACAGCCTGGCAGCAATGAGTGATCATGTCATCGTGTCACTATAATGAAAATTTGTGGTAAGGGTGGTCCTAGAGAAAGGACCTCAAAAAACAGCCATTCTTAAGGTTTAAAATTAGCTTTATGGTGAAGTATTGTTAATCTACTTGTCAATGATCAAACAAAAAAAACTTTGCAGCTTCAAGGATCTTCCAGAAACAACTCTTTTACATGACAAATTTGAGATCATAGCTTGTTTAGCAAACATGGAAGATACTTGAAAAGCATGTTACCAATTTTTTAACAAAAAGCAAAATCACAACTACTATGGCAAAACAGTGCCAACCTTTATGTTTCCACTAAAGATTAAAAAAAGAGGTATTTAGAAACAAAGAGAAATAATAAAGACAGATATTGCATGTAGAAGAGATACCGAAATAAGCAGTCAGTGGTTTGAATTAAATTCAGACAGTTGTAGGATATAAATACTTCATCAGAACAGGACAGGGTACATGCTGCAGTCCATGGGGGACATGGTAAAACAGCTGTTAAAACACATCACCACAGCTTCAGAGCAGGAACTTGAGTCTTGCTCTAGAACCACACCCAAAGCCCCCTGTAATTAGCTCCACTATAAATTCATAACTGCTCATCCCAGCAGAGCAATCAAAGGCAGATGCAAACAACGTTAGCCACATTAACCCTGGTTGCTGCTCAGACTACTGCAATCAACGTGCTTTTAGCCCTGCTGGATGTGTTACATTATCCAGGTTTGACTGATTTTTGACTTAGGAGCAAATTCCTTGCTATTTCTAGGGGCTGCATCACCACGTTTTAGGGCAACCTTGATGACATCTATACTTTTTATTTCCTCCTTTAAAGCTACTTGAAAGCACTCCTCCTTTGATGAAAGCTCAGAGAAAACACCCAGTTTCACTTTTCATCATTAACAAAAGCACAAAAGGACTCCGACATCAGCTATGTGTGGCATTCTGTAACTCTTCTCCGAATAAAGCATTAGGACTTACTGGGCTGGCAAATGGTCTTGACCTTTGAGCCTCAAACCAAGTATGACAACTGCACGTTCTGTTGAACTCAGATTTGCAGCAGAAACAAGTAACATAGCATTGATGACACTTAAAGACTACAACAGGAATACTGAAACAGAAAAAAAGCCTGCTGGTTTTTCCCCCCACATGAAATTCCATTTTGCCCCTCCACTTCTCATTCTTTCCCAGCTGAAACTAGTACAATTCTTTGAGTAGCTACAGTGTGGTTAAGCAGAGGAAGCTATGCTTGTTTGCATGGAATCTGCTATTTCCTCTCTGCCAAAGCACTTGTTTAAAGAAGTCATGTAATATTTCTATTAAGCTGTAAATGCAGTTGACAAGGAAATGGCCTACTGGCAGTGCATTACCTTTGTGGCAGTGCCAACCAGCCTACAGCAAAATAGTGCACATGGTCATTTCAACATGCATTCCAAAGTAACAACATTGTGCCTTACATAAATACCACATAACTCCAGCAACATCTAGAAAGAGCAATGAAAATTTACCCAAGCTTTCATGCTTGCCTGTATCAATTCTGTGTCATAACTAAAACAAAGTAGGAAAGCATCTACATATGTCCAAAAGTCCTGTGAAGCTGTATCATATGACACTGGGAAAACTATTGCAACTTAAATCTGTATATTTCTTGTTAACCACTGTAACAACTCACTAATAAAAATTAAGAAAAACTGTAGGTATCAAATATACAAAAGAGTACTAACTGCACACAAGCCCTTAAAAACCAGAACGTAATTTATTAACAAGAACACATGTTCTATGTAATCCAGAATTGTTGTGCTAAATTGCTTTGGCCTTTGATAGCATTCATTAGATTACAAGAATTAAACAGATTCACTCAGTGACCTTTGCTTTATAAGCAGCTATTGTCATGCATATAAAATCCTCTCTGATAATGTAGTCCTCACCTTTCAACAGCCAGGGCAACTACATATAATACTGTTAAAATGAACTCAGATGTAACTAAGATATTTTCATTAAAAGTACAACCAAAAACCCCCAGCATGATCAAATGTATTTAATTTGTAATCAACAGTTCTTCAAAATATCTTTAAATGTTACTTCATCTTAAATTAAATACTCAACAAAAACAAGCTTCAGAGATACTTATTTTACTCTCAGCTTTCATCTGAGTACTTTCAGTTTGAACAGTAACTTTAAAATAGTTAATTGCACAGAAAAAAAAAAATATGGTGCAGGAAAACTGCTAAGCTTTGCTTCCAAAATTATGTGATGTTTCTAATTGCAGAACACTCACTAGCTTTAACTGAGCTGTACACTGCCATAAAACTTCATGAAACATCTCTGCTCCAAAAAGCACACACACAAAAAAAAAATCAAAACCCAACAGCACTAAACACACTTTTACTCATATTTGCATCAGCTTACAGTAATCAGATATGAACAATACCTTCTCTTTTCACAGTGGTGGCATCTTTATATTAAGATCATGGCATATGAGGCAGCAGCAAAAGAAAACTGAATAAGCTAGTATGCATGCCATTCTTGCAGCAAATCACAAAGATTAAAAAAATTTTGCTTTTAGCAATATAAAGTGCCTTATTAATACCAAATGGGCTTTTGACATAAACAATTTGAGAGCAGAGTATTTACTGATGCTCACTGCAATCAGTGTAGCTTTTCTATAGCTCATTTCAAAAAAATGAAAGCATGACTAACAGTGGCAACAGCTATTCCTAGATAAACATCGTTCCCCATGAACTTCTCCAAGGAATTACTTTATAACTGCTACTTCTCATAAAGCAACTAATTTTATTTACATTTGATTTTGCAAAAAAGTAAACAAATTCAGTAACAGAGTTTAAGAGTAAGTAATAAATAAAAACTGTCAAGGGTTACTAATATTAGCAGTGCTCACATAGGAGAATTCCAAATCCTTCTTTAGGTCATCTTTACTTCAAAACTCCCCTTCAAAGGAAGATTGCCTCTTGGTTATGGACCTCTCCAAGTGCAGGTACAGTATGGAACAGGCTCTATATGTTGCCTTCAAGTCAATTAAGCATTTATTGCTTTCTTTCTCTCTCAAATGGAGATAAAAGCATTCTGAAACCTTACAGGGACATGATAAAACACAGGCAAACTGTAGTAAATAGGAAACAAGACAGCAAGTAAAAATCTTATCTTAAAATCTTTGTCCATCTTTGTCTTACGATCCAAGTACTATTTTTTTGAGGTTTTGGGTTTGGTTTTTTTTTTTGGTTTCTTAATACAACAAACAAGAAATCACCACCACACACACTTACCCTCATTGGATGAATATCAGCATATGGAGGTTTTCCTTCAGCCATTTCTATTGAAGTGATACCAAGGGACCAGATGTCTGCCACACAGTTATAGCCAATCTCTTGTATTACTTCAGGAGCCATCCAAAACGGAGTTCCTATAACAGTATTACGTTTTGCCATTGTATCCTGTAATTATATTGTTCATGCAATTAAAACAGATATGTTTATTTTCAGATATCTTCTATATTTAAAAGTTAAATTAGCCATTCAAAGGTCAAATGGTAGTGACTTCCAATTAAGACCAAACAGATTGAGCCTATCAGCCTACAGAGGCCGAACAGGTGACAATGTTCATAAATCTCAAACAAAAGTTTAAAGCAGGATCATCAGGCACTTGAAGTACACTGAGTTGTAAAAATAAACAACTAAACACTAAATAGCCTTACAATTTGTTAAATACTCATCATTATAAAGACTGTAGCTCTACCACTACTACTAGTCACTCCTCAAACACAAAATTCAAGGCAGAAGAAAAAGACAAAAGAACACGGTCATGAGCACTAAAGCATTTTAAAATTATCTTTCCAAAGGTACTTACTGTTAACTGGCCAGCCACACCAAAATCAGCTAATTTGGCATGACCCTCAGTGTTAAGAAGGATGTTTCCAGCCTTTATATCTCTATGTATTTTTCTCATAAAGTGCAAGTATTCAAGTCCTTTAAGAGTAGATTTCAGAATAGTTGCGATTTCATCTTCCGTTAGCTGCAAGAAAACAAAACCATTTTCAGGTATACACAGAGTCTCTATATTTGAACTATTTAAAACACCATCATTCCATAATGTTTTGTTTATAAACAAAACAGACAACGTACCTTAGGAACATGCCCAATACCATTTATGATTCAAAATTCTGATCTACCAACTTGATCCATACAGCTAGATTCTTTAGAGTCTAGAGACCAATTAGAAAAAGCAATCCCCAAAACTACAGAAGAGGCTGACTGATGCAGATCAGATCGCAGAATGCAATATACCCTTGCCTGTCAATCAAATGTTACTACTCTTCAGATGGTGACATCCTTCATAAAGACTGCTGCACAGTTTCTACAATATACAACTAATACATTTATCACTAGGACCACACATGTTAATTGTCAAGTTATGCACATCTTTGTTTTGACAAAGGTAATGGTGGTCACCACTGGACTAGACGGCACATACCAGAAGACTTCCCTGGAAAAGGAGCTAGCCCCTTCTCTCCTGTGGAAGGCTAGAGCCATTCCTCAAACATCCATACCCTTAAGTTCTTTATACAGTTTGCACAACAAACCAGCCCAGTCCTACATTTGGAAAGGGATGAAAGGAATGCCATGTTTTCTTTATTTCTCAAATTCCTGTGTATGAAATGCCTGCTAAGTCTACAATCAGTAAGATCAAGCTTTTATCCACCTGCTACTCCTAACTGCACTACTATTAGTTTCTCATTGTTGGCAATTTACAAGTTAGAGGATGAACTAAAAGCTGCTTCACAAGAACAAAAAAACACAAAACAAAAAGCAAGAGATTAAAATGTACCGAAAGGAGCCAAATAATTATTTATCACAAAGCTTGTGAAAGATATATTTGCCAAGGATAGCTTGCTACTTACCGTCTGTAGGGAGATAATACAGCATGCAGAAATATAAATGCCCAAACAGTTCCCAACTAGTTTACAGAATTTTACTGAAGTCTGTCAAGTAAGCCATTCTTTTTAAGGCTAGTGCCTTCATTTTATATGGAATGTAAGTAAACACTAACATTTGAAAATATTTCTCACTCTGCCTGTGCTCCATAGTGATACAAAGCTGTAGAACTACACCCGTACAGATGTGCCCCAATGACCTTCCCAAAACCCTACTCAGCCCTGAAAAAGGACAACTGAGATGCCAGGGTACTCTTATGGAGGAAGGTGCCAATAACTACTATCCCTTGTTGCTTTAACTGTAGACTATTACAGAAATAATTGAGAATGGACGCCAGACAGATGCTATAGGCTTTCTCTTACACCTTTCTTCTTTCCTTGTTGCTGACTGACGCAGAGAATGAACACACACTGAACTTTCAGGTTTTTTTTAAATTACCTGCATCACTCGACAATTGCTAGATGACAGAGATCCTCACAGGAAAATACAATCAGATTGAATATGGCTCTTAGATTTCAGCAACAATTACTGTATTTTTAAAATATATACCAACAATGTTAATTAGTTTGTTTTCTAGGCAAAGGTTTCCTGTTAGTTGTTAACATTAAATGCAGATAACCCACCCAAGTTATGCTATAATATATCATGTTACTATTGCACTATTAAGTTGTACAATTGAACTAACAGAAATCCTAACATTGCTGGCCCTGAATATGTAAGATAAGCCACATTTTAGTAAGCACAACAGGGATACATTGAACTCTGTAAAAGCATCTCAAAGGAAATGCTAGGAACTCTTTTGCTTGACTTTTTTTTTTAAGCAGACCAGATAAACTTCAGTTTTAAAGCTAAAAAAAAATAAAAAAAAAATAAACACCTACTATAAATACAGAAGTGGTAGACTGGGCAGTCCAAAATGCTTCTCTTATTTACTACTTTAATATGTCACAGAATTCATATACTATCATAAATTATACAATAAGGTCCAAGTAACAATTAGCAGCCAGCTGACAGACATTTTATTACCAAAGAAAATACAATACAGTAAAAAAAAAAAACCTTGAGATATATTTTCATTTATCTGCTTCATAAAATACATGAACTACTGAGTAAGTCACCAGTTAGCACAGTTGTTTATCGTCAATGCTTTAGATCAACACAATAGGAACACCTAAGCTCCTGAACAAGTGTTATCAGAGAAGCAGTAAGAGTGTATCTTTTGCAGGTACCAGACTCCCCAAGAACACTTCCTGGATTTTCATCAACATTTATTCTAGAATAAAAGCAACAACACACACACAATTAATTCCCTGCAATGCAATTTCTCAATAAAATACAAATAAACTATTCATGCAACTGAAATGCTGTGCAATTACAGTACATTAATGCTTTAATATAAGAACTCAGCACATAAACTTGACACATTCTTAGAAATGCAAGAAACTGCAAAACTGAAGACAAATAATTTGGCTACAGCACT